GTGGTGGCTGGCCTGGGCGAGCCCTTAAGGTTCTGAAAGCTGCAGCTCATTTGTAGTGGGATTTCAGTTCCCTAAAACGTTTTCTCAAGCATTGATGTTGCATAAAAGGAACATGGGAGAAGTTAGTCTTTCCTTCTGTGTCTTTAAGAAGAGTGGGGAAAAAAGCTTCAGCTCTGTGGAACTAATTCAGCCTATTGAGCAAAGGGATGTGACCTGAATGAACTTCTCAGAAATGAGATGAAGAGGAGGTTGAGATCTAGTTCATAAGAATGTAAGACTTAGACTATGAGTGAATTCTTTAAAACAAAAACCCTTACTACAGAAATAATGGCTATGATAAAAAATTTAGGAACTACAGGCAATCAATTTAAAAAAAAAAATGAATACCTAAGTTTCAAAGTTAATCCTTCCAGGCTTCCTTTTTTCCTGCTCATAGATTATATTTATTCATAATGAAAAAATGGATTATAAAGTGTATATTTTGTAAAATATCAGATAAAATATATCATGAAGTATATATTTTCTCCTTGTATATTGTACAATGTATAATATTTATATTGTACATTTATATTATATTAAATTAAGTATATGTTACATATATTATGTTTTTAGATTTCTTTGGGAAAACTAGTAACAGTCATGTGTCGATTGGTGGGATGTGTTTTGGGAAATGCATTCCTAGGTGATTTTCTCATTGTGTGAACATCACAGAGTGCACTTACACAAACCTAGATGGCACAGCCTGCTACACACCTCGGCTGTATGGAGCAGCCTTGTGCTCCCCAGCTATACACATGCACAGCATGTGACTGTCTCAGTACTGAAGGCAATTATAACACAATTGTATTTGTGTATCTAAACATTGAAAAGGTCCATTAAATTCTGGTATTATAATGTATGGGCCATTGTTGTATGTGAGACCCATTGTTGACCAAAATGTCATTACCTGACTGTACTCTGAAAAGTTCAAATATCAAAGACTGTAAAGGGATAAACCATGAAAAGCCTTATAATCTGTTTGCCCACCCATCCTACGGAAAATAATTTTTATGTTCTTGTGTATTTTGCTAGAGTTTTACACATAAACACATACAATATGCTTTACTTCCCCACCTCCTTTTTTTAAATGCAAAAGATGACACTCTAGGTACACTATTCCGTACCTTAACACTGTAACTTCTTTTCATATCAGTTCATAAAGAGATGCCAGATATTTTATAGTTGCATAAAATTCCACTGTATGGGTGTACTGTCATTGGCCTTTGTGAGTGTTGAACTAATATACTGTGTTAATAATGAATAATTAATAACTATAATAAGAAAGCAATGAGATTGCATTTTTCTCACAGTCTTGGCCACACAGTATGTGATCAAACTTTTGGATTCTCGTGTATCCGGCAGGTGAAAATGGTCATTTCAACATAGTTTTAATTTACATTTCTTTTGTTATGGATAAAGAGGGTAGAGTTATAACTAGTATTAGAGATGAGAGAAATCTAGTATTATAACAAGAATTAGTTTGTTTTTTACCCTTTTTTATTTGGAATACAACAGAAGTGCAAAAAAGTACACAGGTCTCAATTGTATACTGCAGGAACGATAGAATGATTATAAAGAGAACAACTTACTGCCTTCACCCAGGTCAAGAAATATGCAAACACTTCCCCCATTTCCCTTTCCTGTTGTCACCTCCCCCAAGGGCTGTCTCCTGAAAGTAACCACAAGCTGACTTTAATGTAATCCTACTGTGGCTTTTCTGTATACATCCCTCAACAATATAGTTCAGTTTTGTGAGGTTTTGGACTTCTTCTGTGTATCATTCCATGTCTTTTTAAGTTCACCTTTGTGTTGTTAGGGTTGATCCACCCTGACACATAGCTGAATTCATTTCCTTTGCTTTGAAGCCTTCCTTTCTATCACGGCAGCATGATAGGATTTTCCATCCTTCTACTGATGCTCATTTTAGTTGTTTTCAGCTTTTGGCTGTTAGGACTGAGCATGCATCCTGGCCCACACGTGTACACCTCTGTCCAGGGTCTATGGATAGTCAGAAGTGGAAGTGCTGGGTCATAGGGGATGCATTTCTTCAATTATATATGAACAAAGTCCAGTTGTTTTCAGCATGGGTGCTCCAGTTACCATTCCTCCTCCCAAACCTGCTAACATTTGCCACCATCAGATTCTTTATTTTTTTTTTCAATTTGATGGTTGTATAATAGTGTTTCATAGTAGTTTAATTTTTAGAAGCTTCATGGAGATATTTACATATGTGATTCACTTGTTTAAAGAGTATACTTGAGTGGTTTTTAATATAGTCACAGAGTTGCGCAATCACCATCACAATTGAGTTCAGAATATTTTCATCTCAAAAAAAAAAAAAACCCATGCCCATTAGCAGTCACTTCCTATTTCTTGATAACACCCCTAATCCTAGGCAACCGCTCGTCTTTCTGAGTATATGGATTTGCCCATTAGAGACATTTCATGGAATCATGCAACATGTGGTCTTTTACAACCGAATTTTTTCACCTGCATGATTTTTTTTCAAGGCTCATGCAAGCTGTAGCGTGTATCAGTACTTCGTTCCTTTACATTGCTGAGTAATTTTCTATTCTATAGATAAACTACATTTTGTGTAGCCATCAGTCAGTTGATGGGCATTTGGATTGTTTCCGCTTTTTGACTATTGTGGATAATGCTGCTATGCACACTTGGGCACAGGATTTTGTGTAGACATGTTTGCATGAACCGTAGTGGTTTTAATTTCTGTGTCCTTGATTCCTAATTGAATCTGAGCCCTTTGTGAGTGGGTGGGTAGGGGTGTGTGTGTGTGTGTGTGTGTGTGTGTGTGTGTGCGCGCGCGCGCCTGTGGGGGGGGCGGGGTTGACATTTGACATTCCTTTAAGAAATATCTGATCCAGTGTTTTGCCTGCCTTTTCTCTGGGGGTGTCTATGTTATCAGCGCAGATCTGGGGCAATTCTTCATTGGAACACACCTTGCAGATGTCTTCTCCCAACTCGTGCCCATTACACTCTGGAACGACGCCTTTTTATGAAGAGAAATTATGAATTTGAAGTAATCAAACTTGTCCCTCTTTTATGGTCCGAGGTTTTGCCTCATTTTTTACCTTGAGGTCATGAAAATATTCTCATCCAAAAGCCTTATGCTTTTGGATTTTATAATTGTGAATTCAAATGTCAGAAAATCGTAGAAGTAAGACTTCACAGTGGGGAACGGGGTGACCTCCTTGCTGTGAAGATGAAGCAGCTAATCTGTTCCATACACACCAAGATGGTTTTTCAGAAAATCTTCTTTCTATCTTGCAGGTTAAAATTGCATACATTAACTTCCTGAATCACTGCTATGTGGATACAGAGGTGGAAATGAAGGAGATTTACACCAGCAATCACATGTGGAAATTGTTTGAGAATTTCCTTGTAGACATCTGCAGGGTAAGGCTTTCTGGAACTAAGGAGGTAGAGTTAGAGAATGAGAGGTGTGTGTGTGTGTGTGTGTGTGTCATCTTGGTGACACATGAAGAAAACAGCTGCATCATTTCTACTCTAATTTGTGACATGAAGAGGCATTTGTGGCTTTTATATTTCTTTTTTTTTTTTTTTTCTGAGATGGTGGTCTCACCCTGTCACCCAGGCTGGAGTGCAGTGGGACAATCTCAGTTCAGTGAAACCTCTCCCCCCGGGCTCAAGTGATTCTCCTGCCTCAGCCTCCCAAGTAGCTGGGATTACAAACGGCCACCACCAGTCCCGACTAATTTTTGTATTTTTAGTAGAAACAGGGTTTCACCAAGTTGGTCAGGCTAGTCTTGAACTCTTGACTTCAAGTGATCTGCCCACCTCAGCCGCCGAAAGTGCTGGGATTACAAGCGTGAGCCACCACACCTGGCCATTCTTATGTTTTTCTCTTAGCTGAGAGTAGATGTTCTTTATCAAGCTTCAGGGAAGAGAGGTTATTTCTAGTTTTCATGTCACCCCTGTGGATTGGTTTGTGAATGATAACCTGGGCATATTACAATTCAATTTATAAGGATTTATTTTCTTGGTAATATGCCTGTGCTTGAAGGGCACTTCCCTGAGCTTAAGCATTTGTCTCCTGGAGTCTGTTCTTCAGGATTCTGCACAATTCTTCCCCTTCCATTTATTGCTTTCCTGACTCAGCTTCAAGAGTGGCCTTTAAGATACTTGATTTGGTTTTGCATTGAGCTTAATATTCATGCCAAAGCCACAAGACTGCCGCATAACAAAGCATACCACGGATTTAATACGAGTTATGTGATGGTGGAATTAGGGTAGTGGGGGGGTAGATTTAATATAAGTTATGTGATGGTGGAATTGGGGTAGTGGGAGGGGTAGATTTAATGTGAGTTATGTGATTGTGGAATTGGGGTGGGGGCAGATTTAATATGAGTTATGTGATGGTGGAATTGGGGTAGTGGGGGGGTAGATTTAATATGAGTTAGTGATGGTGGAATTGGGGTAGTGGGAGGGGTAGATTTAATACGAGTTATGTGATGGTGGAATTGGGGTAGTGGGGGGGTAGATTTAATATGAGTTAGTTATGGTGGAATTGGGGTAGTGAGGGGGTAGATTTAATATGAGTTAGCGATGGTGGAATTGGGTTAGTGGGGGGTAGATTTAATATGAGTTAGTGATGGTGGAATTGGGGTGGGGGGGTAGATTTAATATGAGTTATGTGATGGTGGAATTGGGGTGGGGGTAGATTTAATATGAGTTAGCGATGGTGGAATTGGGGTAGTGGGAGGGGTAGATTTAATGTGAGTTATGTGATGGTGGAATTGGGGTAGTGGGGATAGATTAAGATTCTTTAGAAGGTAATTGTCAGATACATCCCAATTTCAGAAATATGGTGATGGTAAAAAGATGCATTGTAGAATACTAAAATGTGGTATTTTCTGCTTCACTGTACGATTACTAGTATGAGGCAAGAAGCCTACAAGAACTTATTTTCCTTCTGAGAGAGAACTCTATTTAGAAGTATTTGGTCAGGTGTTGATTTCACAGGCAGATTTTTTAAAAAAATCTCAAACTCCTCCTAGTTTTTAATCCTATTAACCTAGGGATTTTTGGCTTGGAATGGCAGGCTTACTTTATTTCTTTAAATTAGTACTCTGTGAAATTTTCTGTAAAGCACCACATAGTAAATATGTTCAGCTTTGTGGGCCATTCATCTCTTTCATGACTACTCAGTTCTGTACTTCTAGCATGAAAGCATCCATGGCAAGCAGGCATAGCTGTGTTTCAGTAAAACTTTATTTATAAAGATAATTACTGACCCTTACTTTGCCGATCCTTGCATTAAATTACTTAGAAATACTGTAAAATCAGTTATTAATTTCATTCTTTGAATATGTTCTCAGACTGTCTAGTATTAAGATCAGAACATGAAGGTCTCTTATGAGCACTTGATTTTTATGTCCTTCACTTCATTCTTTTCAGTATAAGCAATTTTATGTCTTAAATTATAGAACTAATGAATTCAGTGATAAAACTTGATTTTTTAAAATGTGCTAACCCTCTCATTGGCAAATATTATTTTAGGCAGCAGAATTAAGTAGAGTATAGGTGAAATCAAAGGTGTCACTTCCCCCCAAAACTGGTATAGTCAGTTATTCTGAAACATGGCTTGCTATTTTGAATCAAGCTGTGTATTGGTAAGATTTTAAAATTCAATTAAAATCGAATGGAAGAGTGTTGTAGGATTGAAGATGATCAGGTCAGGTGTGGTGGCTCATGACTGTAATCCCAGCACTTTGGGAGGCTTAGTGGGCAGATCCTTTGAATCCAGGAGTTTGAAACCAGCCTGGCCAACGTGGCAAAACCCTGTCTCTACTAAAAATACAAAAATTAGCTGGGCCTGGTGGCAGGCACTTGTAATCCCAGCTACTTGGGAGGCTGAGGCACGAGAATCGCTTGAACCTGGGAAATGGAGGCTGCAGTGAGCCAAGATCATGCTACTGTACTCCATCCTAGGGGAAAGGGGGAACCTTTCTTCAAAAAAAAAAAAAAAAAAAAGATTTCCAGATGGTCAGGCTCACAGGACCTCAGTGACATATATTTGACTGTCTTGATTATTTGGATAAGGACACTATGGTCTAGAGCTGAGGAACGGATTCCTCAGGAGATCAGTTTTCTTTTAGAGTAAATTTAAGACACCTGTAGTGACTGCTTCTCACTGCCCTTTGGGGCTTTAGATTGACCAGACACACATAGAAAGTTGAAGGCGGTGGCCTTGTTGGTTCATACCTATTTTAAGGTTTGTTATGCTGTACCATGATATCTGAGCTGATCTGCTTCTCTGTTTTTCATGATTTATATTTAATTATTGTGATTCCTTAAGGGGAGAAATATTGGCCAGCGGGCCTTTACCTTTCGTTTGTTAAAAGTAACCCATGGGAGGGGGTCGCAGATTTCTTAATGTCTTGGCATCGTTTTTGGTGTAATGCATAACATACCCACTTGTCTTCCAGGCCTGTAACAACACTAGTGACAGGAAACATGCTGACTCGATTTTGGAGAAGTACGTCACCGAAATCGTCATGAGTATTGTTACTACTTTCTTCAGCTCTCCCTTCTCAGACCAGAGTACAACTTTGCAGGTGAGAAATACCAACATCAAGCAGAATGCTCATGATACACCTTCTGCAGTTGGGCTTGATGCACATTTGGGAGTGAGCAACTGTAATGAACCAGTCTGCAAAGCATTAATAAAAGATAAATTTCTCTTGGTGGAGGATAGCTGTGATGGGATTTCTTGGATAAAGAAGTACCTGAGGATATTTTCTTGTACTGGATGGTTCTGTTAATTGTTGATTTTCTCCTTAAAATCTTTATTGCTTTATTTATTATTATTATTTTTTGTCCTCCAGTCTTCTCCTTTCTGCCCTCGAATCCTAGAGATAATGTTTACAAAACATCTAGAAGAGTGTCTGGCACATAGTAGGTCCATAATAAATGGTAGCCCATGCTCTTTCTGTTAGACTATAAGCTACATGAGGACAAAGTTATGTCTTATGTGCATGGTCATCTCATATAGTACTCTGTCCCTTGTACCTGGCATTGTGACTGGTACTAAGTTGCTAATTTGTTGAACAAATGACTAAATGAGACTCAGGAGAGGGGTAGAGACCAGAGACATATATGTACCGATTAAAGCCTTAGCCAGGAAAATGAAGTGGTTACTGAAAAGGGACCTGGAGAGAACACAAATAATTGAGGATGAGATGTAAAAAGGCCAGAGTAAGGTCAGGAGTCTTCATGCAGGCAGGTTGCGATTTGGGATTCTGTGGGTCCTCAGGAATGAAGAAAGGGGAGGATTTTAGGAAAACAGGAGATGATGAGCAATCATGCCCTTTTGCTTATCCAAGAGGTTGAGTGAGATGATGCCACCTGTATTCGTCCATTTTTACACTGCTCATAAAGACATTCTCAAGACTGGGCAATTTACAAAAGAAGCCCAGCCTGGCGGTGCCCTTCGTGTCACTGCCTATGTGGTACATGCAGTTGTGGCTCACTGGGAGACGTGGTGGTGGCTGGCCTGGGCGAGCCCTTAAGGTTCTGAAAGCTGCAGCT